AAAGATAGGAGAGGAGGATAAGGGCAAAAAGGATGACTTGCAACTTCCAGATGTATCTCTGGCCGTTCCTATCTGCAAAGGGGTCTAAGAAATGTAATTTTTCAGCTACTCCCAATGACCAAAGTTCTGCCAGTAAGGAAGAAGAGAATGGTAAGTTAGGCAGCCAGTAGCCTCTACTACAGGTATTAACACCTCCCTCAACACATACACGATGCACAAACCAAACCATTTCTCCCTCCCCAACAGCACATATGGATTTATTATCTATGAGTCGATCTAAAGCTTTCCTGCACCTATTTATCTTTTCAGCTTATATTATCTCTCTTGAGATTTTAGTGCCAGTGTAAGTCCCTCAGTGTTAATCCTCTGGTAGCAGGATTATGCAGTGGAAAGAGCACTGGACTTGGAATCAGGAATGTGACCTATAATTTCAGTTCACCACCAGGGTGTTGCCCTTTGATATCTGAGCTTCCATTTCTTCCTTTGGGTAGTGGTAATAAAATACCTTATCTGCCTTCTTAGAGGATCACATGTGCATTTTTATTTTAATGTATATAGAACTATGTGGCATATTTCTCCATCTTTACCATCTCTGCCTTCCTCACTGCCACTTCTTGTTCAGGGCCTTGTTATCACACTTCTCTCTTGGCTATTGCAATAGTTCTCGGAGTCAATTCCAGTCCTTACAACTCTACAGATTTCTACATAGCCCTCATTTTCATTGTTACTGGACATATGTACCATGGGGGAAATATTTAATTATAAATTTTACTCTTAGACATTAGGTGTATATTTTCAGATTTATTTTGTGGTGGTAGATATTTTATATGTATTTATATACATATATTACAAATGTATATCTTATGATTAATTATTTTGTTAAAAGCAAATTCCTGAGTTACTAGGTTAGTGGGTGGTTCTTTGAGACTTCTGCTTCTTTTTCCCAGTTATTTCTCAAAGGATAGTTCTAATTTTTATGCCACAAATGAGAGAGTATTATGAATGTATTAATAGCATTTCATACATAGTCTAGTAAAACTTTAAAAATATATAATAGCCCTAGCTGGATTGGCTCAGCAGATAGAGCGTCAACCTGCAGACTGAAGGGTTCTGGGTTTGATTCCAGTCAAGGTTATACGCCCGGGTTTCAGGCTCCATCCCCAGTGTCGGGTGGGCAGGAGGCAGCTGATCAATTGTTCTCTCTCATCATTGATGTTTCTCTCTTGCTCTCCCTCTCCCTTCCTCTCTGAAATCAATAAAAATATATTTAAAAAAAATGTTTTTAAATATAATAAAAATGCACCTTGTCCATTTTCATGCACATGAAATCTGGCCCTACAAGTCCTGGAAGATTTGGTGCACTGCAATCTGGTAACCTTGTATGTATAGACCAGTATGAGTTCAGACCTTAAATGTGCATTTATCATACATGTCAAAAGTGGTAAACATCTCAAGGAAAGATAGACATTTTTTTTATTCCTCATAGCATCCTGTTTTCTTTAACAGGGTACTTCAAGGTCATTTAAGGATAGAGTTGGGGCCTGGCTGGTGTGGCTCAGTGTTTGAGCATCGACCTATGAACCAGGAGGTTATAGTTCGATTCCTGGTCAGGGCACATTGCCGGGGCTGCAATCTCAATCCACAGTATGGGGCATGCAGAAGTCAGCCAATCAAAGATTCTCTCTCATCATTGATGTTTCTTTTTTTTTTTCTTGTAACAGCTTTATTGAGATACAATTCACATACCACACAATTCACCTATTTAAAATGTATACTTCAATGGTTTTTAGTGTATTTAGAGTTGTGCAACCACTAATCTACTTTCTATTTCTATGGATTTGACTATTCTGGACATTTCATATCAATGAAATCAGACAATATGTGGTGTTTTATGACTGACTTCTTTCACTTAGCATAATGTTTTCTTCAAGGTTCACCTATGTTGTACTCTGTATTAGTACTTTGTTTTTTTTCTTTATTGGCTAAGGTATTACATATGTGTCCTGATCCCCCCATAGCCCCCCACCCCACCCCACTCATGTCCTTACACCCCTGGTGTCTGTGTCCATTGGCTAGGCTTATGTGCATGCAAACAAGTCTTTTGGTTGATCTCTCCCTCTTACCCCCACCCTCCCCTACCTTCCCTCTGAGATTTGATGGTCAATGCTTCTCTGTCTCTGGATCTGTTTTGGTTCATCAGTTTATGTTGTTCATTATATTCCACAAATGAGTGACATCATGTGATATTTATCTTTCTCTGACTCTGACTGGTTTATTTCACTCAGCATAATGCTCTCCAGTTCCATCCATGCTGTTGCAAATGATAAGAATTCCTTTTTTACAGTAGCATAGTATTCCATTATGTAGATGTAGCATAAGTGCTGGCAAGGATGCAGAGAAAAAGGAACCCTCTTGCACTGCTGGTGGGAATGCAAACTGGTGCAGCCACTGTGGAGAACAGTATGGAGTTTCCTCCAAAAACTAAAAATGAAACTCCCATTTGACCCTGTGATCCTATTTCTAGGACTATATCCCAGAAACTAGAAACACCAATCAGAAAGGATATATGCACCCCTATGCTCATAGCAGCACAATTTACCATAGCTAAGATTTGGAATCATCATTGATGTTTCTATCTCTCTCCCTCTCCGAAATAAATAAAAATATATTTTAAAAATATATTTTAAAAACATAATAAAGATAGAGTTGCGGCTTTTTTTTCATTGAGACCTAAGAGAGTCTCTCCTTCCTTACTCCGTGTAGTCCCCAGCTCTTCTACCTGCCCTTACTCTCTCTAAGCATCCATACCGATTTCCTCCTCACTTGGAAGCCCTGACTTCCAAGGCAACACACTGTTATCAAATGTCAACTGCTGAAGGCTTAGAGCTTGCTCACTTTCACCAAGGATTTAGGAAAGGATTCTGAGTTTTAGCCCTTGATTAAGAAAGGAAATCAAATTGACTTAAATTTTCATTTTCTTTAAAAGTAAGTCTTATATTCAGACAAGTTACTCAAGTTCCTCGATGAGTCCTGCCCCATTCCTCTTCTTTTATCAGAAAGTTTATAAAAAGTTGGATGGTGGGAGAACTTGGATTAGTTATGAGCTTTTCTAAATTTTTTTGCATTAAGTGTAATTACAGATTATGTAACTGAAATACACAATTTAGCTGATTCAGAGAATCATAAATATATGTTTTGGGGGTCAAAGTATCAAGCATTTTTTTTACCTTTCCCAGAACACTTTCATCTTAACACATTGCGGCTGGATCATGAGAATTCTTGCTTCATATTACACAGTGTTTTACAAAGTATCATACTTTAAAAAGATCTTAGCTTGTAAGCATATGTAATAAATAACTTCAAAATGCAATGGGTATTTAACTTTAAAGCGTGCCTTTAACATTTATGTAAAACTTTTTTGTACTCGTTCAATAGAAATTTATCTGGCTACTGGGTAAAGCTAGCAATAAAACTACTGTGTGTTTAAGATGTCTTTAAAGAGAAACTTATTCTTTTATTTAGCAAATACTAATATTTACTATCCTATCCAGAATTAGCATTATATAATTCTGTGGAATTTATTGCAGTACTCAGTTCTTAGCCCCTATACTCTTTATAAATGCAGTTGAAGCCAATGATTATTTTTTTATTTTTACAAATGTTTTATTTATTTAGTTAGTTAATCCTCACCCAAGGACAGTTTCCCATTGATTTTTAGAGAGAGTGGAAGGGAGTGGGAGAGACAGAGAGAGTGAAACATCTATGTGAGAGAGACACATCAATTCATCAATTGGTTTCCTCTCACACACAACCCAACCGGGCCTGCAACTGAGGTACATGCCCTTGACCAGAGTCAAACCTGCGATCTTTCAGTCCACGGGCTGACGCTCTATCCACTGAGCCAAACTGGTCAAGGATTAACCCTGATACTCTTCCTAGCACATTTTTTTATCCTTTTTAAATCTTTCAATAAAAGTAAATCCCCTTTTCCCACTGACTGATGTATTTTTATTAATTCAGTTGGTTTTGGGGACATAAATATGTGATAGAGCAAGTAGAATTATTGCTGACCCCAGCAATTATGGTTGTTCTAGAGTAGCTTATATCAGCTTTTCTTATATTATCCTCTGTTTAGAAAATAATATTTTCAAAAAAATTGCATCTTTTAAAATTTAAATAGAAAGCCTTTTAAGTCTACCAGACCTGAGGCCCTGAACCTAGGCAAAGTACCGAAAATTAGGTACAGTGGTATAGCGGCAGATTCGGAAATTACCGAAAAATCGGTACAGCGGTCTGGTAGGGTTAAAAAAATCTTGACGTTAAAAATTGTAAGTATTTTCTAACATTTAAAATTTAATATAAGAAATATCATTGATGAATTATGGTTGTTTGATATTTATATTTATACTAGAGGCCCGGTGCACGAAATTCATGCAGGGGGCTGGGGGGTCCATCAGCCCAGCCTTCACTCTCTCCAGTCCAGGACCCCTCAGGGAATGTTCAACTGCTGGACATCCCTCCCGCAATCCAGGACCACAACTCCTAACCACTCAACTGCCTGTCTGCCTGATCACCCCTAACCTCTCTGCCTGCCTGCCTGATTGCCCCTAACTGCTCTCCCCTGCCTGCCTGATCGCCCCTAACTGCTCTCCCCTGCTGGCTTGATCACCCCTAACTGTTCTCCCCTGCCAGCCTGATTGTCTCTAACTGCTATCCCCTGCTGGCCTGATCGCTCCTAACCTCTCTGCCTACCTGCCTGATACTCCCTAACCTCTCTGCCTGCCTGCCTGATTGCCCCTAACTGCTCTCCCCTGCCAGCCTGATTACCCCTAACTGCTCTCTCATGCCAGCCTGATCAGCCCTAACCGCCTCTGCCTCAGCCCCCGCCACTGTGGCTTTGTCTGGAAGGATGTCCAGTCTAATTAGCATATTACCCTTTTGTTAGTATAGATTTATAACTATAGTTACTTATCTGTTGCTTTATTTATTTCTCTTCCTAGGTGAATATGTCAAACCTTTCACACCAGAGAAAGCAAAAGAAATTATCATGTCTTTACAGCAACCTGCTGTCTTCTATAATATGGTTTTTGATTGGCCAGCACAACACTGGACTGCTGAGCACCTTTCCAAGGTCCTTCATGGCAAGCAGATACGATTTAGGATGGGAATGAAAAGTACAGATACAGGTAGGTATGATTACCACAGGTAATCATAATAATAATGTCTCTTCAATAGTATTTCCACATTCCCAGCAGTGTGTTCTTTATCTCTAGAAAATCCTTTATTTCTGATTCTCTTTTTGACCATTTTCAGATAGAGAATATTTTATTGGAAGTTTTAGGACAGTTTGTGTTAAGATTTTTTTAAAGAATAAACAACCTATAGTTTATAACCTCATCTCTATATATAAAAGCCTAAGCGACCGTCTGACTGTTTGCCTGTCCGACCCATAGCTATGACATGCAATGACCACCAGAGGGTAGATGCTCAATGCAGGAGCTGCTGAGCTGCAGTGACTTGCAGCTGCGGTTCTTGGATGACACACCCAGAACCAGAGAGGAGGGAGCCTGATTCTGGGGTGCGTCACCCGAGAACCGCCCTCACGCAATCTGGGACCCCTTGGGGGATGTCTGAGAGCTGGTTTTGGCCCAGTCCTCACAGGCCATACTGAGGGACCCCACTGGTGCAGGAATCCATGCACCAGGCCTCTAGTATAAAATGTTTTTGTTCAAGCATGTGGCAAACACTTAATAAATATTTGTTAATCCGCTATTATTTCTGTTCCCACATGACTGAAAATGACCAATAGTAATCTAATAGTTGCTCCCACTTTTGACTTGCATAGAATGTGTCCTTTTATGTGTGGCTTCAGGCACTATTTATAGTGCTCAGTCTTAGTTGAAATTTTATCTCTTTGCCTTATCAGCTGCCTGACCTCCATTGCAGGTAATATGCATAGCTATTTTCTTTTTCTCTTAAGCAATTAGATTTTGCCAGCTCCCTCTTCTTCCCTGAAGACTTGTAATGTTTTGATTGGTTTGCCTTATAGTCAGCACAATTATTGTTACCTCTCAGATACTTAATACTTAATATAAGAGAAGGATATAGTTTCTAGTCTAAAGGAGTCCACAACATTGTCTTGCTTCAGAATGTGTGTTTAACTTATATTTAAATATGGGCAGGTTTGGTAGTATAGAAATTCAGCGTTTTAAGTATTGCTGTGAGGTGGCCGATGAATATCTACTAACTGAGACAGTTTAAGAAGGTGTCCATCTTCTCAAAGCTTCTTTCTTTCATGTTAACCTTCTAGTAGATCTCATAGAATTATTTGGTTTTTCGTGTCTAGAGTCTCCTTGTATTCCCATGACAGACCGAAATGTTTTTACTGTATTTTTAAAATTAAATGCTAGACTAGCGGCCGCCACATAAAAATCAGCTTGTGCTTTTTCCTTCTTGATTGTAGTCAAATAAATCTTCCACTCATTGAAGACAATAATTTGGAGAGAAATAGGATGTAATTTTTTCCCCATCCTGGTTAGACTCCAAATACAATACTACTACTAATAGCTAACAGTTATTGAGAGATATTGTGTCAGTCACTAGTGTAAGTGCTCTATAGATATTAACTCTTAATCTTCTTCAGACTTATAGATGAATCACAGTAATTTGACACTTTCAAGTTGATACTTAAGCATAAGAGAAAGTAGAAAGTCTTTGTGGTTGTAACAACTCCTCTGAGTTTTTACTAAAGATATTTTGTTCTTTTTAAAAATTAAGATAAAATTCACATAGTGAAAAGTTGACCATTTTAAGTATACAGTGGTTTTAGCATATTCACCATGTTGGGCAACATCATCACTATCTAATTCTAGAACATTTTCATCGCTCCATAAAGAAGCCCAGTACCCCTTCAGCAGTCACCCTCTGTTCTACCTCACTGCCAGTCCCTGGCAACCACTAATCTACTTTCTGTTTTTGTTGATTTTACTATTCTGGGCACATCATATAAATGTAATCATACAATATTGTGGCTTTCTGTGCTAGTTTCTTTCACTCACATAGCATGTTTTCAAGATTCACCCGTGTCGTAGCATGTATCTGTACTTCATTTATTTTTATTAATGAACTAGAGGCCCAATGCACAAAATTCGTGCACGGGTAGGGTCCCTAGGCCTGGCCAGCGATCAGGGCCGATCAGGGCCTTCTGGCTGCCAGCAGGGGCCTCCCTTCGTTCCACGTTGCCCCCTGGTGGTCAGTGCACATCATAGTGAGTGATCAGTCTCCCAGTTGAACTTCTACAGGGACAATTTGCATATTAGGCTTTTATATTTACAGACTAGGGGCCCGGTGCACGAAATTCGTGCACTGGGTGTGTGTGTGGGGGGGGGGGGGAGTGTCCCTCAGCCCAGCCTGCCCCCTCTCACATACTGGGAGCCCTCAGGCGTTGACCCCCATCACCCTCCAATCGCCTGATCGGCCCCTTGCCCAGGCCTGACGCCTCCGCCAGAGGTGTCAGGCTTTGACAGGGGACCCCCATCTCCCCCCGATCACTGGCTCTGACCCCCGCCCAGGCCTGAGGCCTCTGGCCCAGGAATCATGCCTGGTCAGGGGACTCCCATCTCCCTCTGATCGCTTGCTCCACCCCCCGCCCAAGCCTGACGCCTCTGACCCAGGCTTCAGGCCTGGGCAAGGGGACCATCATATCCCCCCAATCCCCGGCTCCGCCCCCCACCCAGGCCTGATGCCTCTGGCCCAGACATCAGTCCTGGGCAGGGGACCCCCAGCCCCCCGCCCAGGCCTGATGCCGCGGCCAGAGGAGTTGATCCTCATCACCCTCCGATCACCAATCACCGGATCGGCCCCTTGACCAGGCCTGAGGCCTCTGGCAGAGGTGTCAGGCCTGGGCAGGGGACCCCCAGCTCCCCGCGGTTGCAGGCTCCGCCCCTGCCCAGGCCTAACGCCTCTGGCTGAGGCGTCCGGCCCGGGCAGCGGGGACCCGCAGCTGCAGCGGCCCCGCGATCGTGGGCTCCGCTTTAGGCCCAGGCAAGGGACCCCTAGCTCCCGGGACTGCCAGCTTCAACCGTGCCCAGCTCCCATTGCTGGCTCCACCCCTACTTCCTGCTATCACTGGCCAGGGCGGCAAAGGCACCCGATTCTCCGATCATGGCTGGGGGGCCGCCTTTGCCCTGCCCCCCAGCTCTTAGCTCCCCCCTGGGTTTCCGATCACTGTCAGTGGCAGGGGGCTTCTTCCTGCTTTCCCTTTCGCCTCCCTGCATTGTGCCTACATATGCAAATTAACCGCCATCTTGTTGGCAGTTAACTGCCAATCTTAGTTGGCAGTTAATTTGCATATAGCCCTGATTAGCCAATGAAAAGGGTAGCGTCGTACGCCAATTACCATTTTTCTCTTTTATTAGTGTAGATAATATTCCATTATGTGTATATATCACATTTTGTTTATCCATTAATCAGTTTCTGGCCATTTGGGTTGTTTCCACTGTTTGGCTATCATAAATTAGGCTGCTATGAACATTTATGTACAAGTTTTTGTGTGGACATACGTTTTCATTTCTCTTGGGTTTATACCTAGAAGTAGAATTGCAAAGTCATACAGTAACTCTGTATTAAACCTTTTGAGAAACTGCCAAACTGTTTTCCAAAGCAGCTGAACCATCTTACATTCCCATCCCAATGTATGAGTGTCCGATTTCTCTGTCCTTGCCAACACTTAACTCCATTTTTTATTCTGGCCATTCTAGTGGGTGTGAATTATTATCTCATTAGGCTTTTGACACACATTTCCCTTGACTAATGATGTTCAAGCATCTTTTCATATGCTTATTGACCACTTGGATATCTTTTTTGGAGAATGTCTATTCAGATGCTTTGCCCATTTTCTAATTGAGATATTTTTTGCTTTTGGGTTGTTTGGTTTGTTTTTGTTTTTGTTTTTTTGTCTTTTGTTGTTGAGTTGCCAAAGAGTTCTTTATATATTCTGGATACTAAATCTTAAAGTTATTCTTTGAGTATAAATGCAATTCTGCCACAAGCAATAAGAGAGCTGACTCAGTCAGCTTGCATGGATTCAAATTTTGGCTTACTGTGTGACTTTGGGTAAGTAACTTCTCTGTAATAGATTAAATGTGTTCATGCACATAAAACATTTAGAACAGTGCCTAGCACATAGTAAATGCTCAATAAATGTTATTTTAAAAATAACATTGTAGAGAATATTGCTTATTGTAGAGAATATTGAAAAAAATGGGAAGATCCAGAGAAATTAAAAAGCTCTTGGTCCTATCACCAAAGTGTACATATGTCCATTTAGGCCTTTTTGTCTTTTAAAAATAATGTATTAATGTTCATAGCCTGGTTTTTTTTTTTTTACTTAACATATTCTGAGCAGCTTCTCTTAACATTAAATGTGACTTTTAAATGGCTACCTAATATTCCATTGTATGATAGTATCAGAATGTATTTTTTAAATTCTCTTATTTTGATATATAGGTTGCTTTGAAGTTTTAAATTTTTAAATAGGACTGTAGTAAACAACTTTGAAAATAAATCTTGTCCAAGTTTGTGATTATTTCTCTAGAATAGATTTCTAAAAGGATTGTGACTAGATCAAGGGATATGACCATTATCATCAGTGGCAGCAATATTCATGAAGCTTCTTAACACAAGAACCTTCTGAGTTGTTCGGGAATGCCTCGCTTAAGTGGTGTCCGGTGACTTGATGACTGACACCCTAAATATCTAGTAGCAGCCTGCTTCTCTCTTTCTCCATGGCCATCTTCTAGTTGGGGTTATCCTGCTTTCTCTTATCCCAGTAGCCTCATCTATAGTCCCACTGCACCTCCTGCTCTCCCTACCTAGGCTATTCTTATACTGAAACCAGAGACAGTTTTTGTTTTTTAAACTCATCTTATTTCTCTGCTTAAACTCTTAAATGGCTTCTCATTACCTCTAAGGTAAAGGTCAAAATTTTGTTTTGGTGTAGAAAGCTGTATTTGTCTCATCAGCTTAATCCCTCTTCCTGAGCTCAAGCCAGACAAGCATTTCTGCATTTTTCGTATTTCCAGAGGTTTGTTTCTTACCTCAGGGCCTTTGCGTCTGTAGTCTAGCCATGCTTCTCTCTGTTCCTCTTTCCCCTTACTCCACCTTTACCTAATTTCTTCCTTCAGAT